CCCCCCCCCCCGCTGAGGGGCGGGCTTCCGATGACCGCAATGCTGAACGGGCAGCGTGCGTTCGGCATTTGTCTTCCGAGCGCCGTTCTAACCAGCCGAGAATCGTACGGTTCCCGGCTGGTTTTCGAACATGCTGGCTTCGACGGAAGACGTGCGACCGCGCGGTAGAAACGGTCGCACCGCTCGGTTCTCGTACGATCGCGGGATTTCCCGCCATTCCCGTACGAGGATCCAGCAGTGTGTGGGCACCTTTTAAGGGATTGCTCCAAGTCGGTAAACGTAGCCGTCGGTTCGTTTCTGGTGGGTAATGCTTTCACCAATTTGTCCGCCGGGGACAGCGAGCGCCGATCTCGGGTCTCGTTTAGCTCAGTGTAGGCAGCCAACCCCTCTGTTCCTCGCTCGTGCACGCCTGGGTCAGATAACGCGTCCGTCCGTGTCGGAGAGCCTCGCAATCGTCGCCAGGAAGCGTGTGACTACCCCCTTATTCCTGCAGAGAGGGGAAGCCCGGCGCTCAGCTTAGGTGCGTCCTGCCGCCATGCGATCTATGACCTGTGTTATTCTTATTATGTTTGCGTGTTGAACCTTCCAGTCACATGTAAATAATCCGCTCGCATCAATTTTTTCACACGGATGGTCGTAATCTTACACAGATTGAGACACGGAGCGCTGAGGCGCACGGGGCGCTGGATGTCATGGAGCGAATGTGTGTTTCCCGCAAAACACGCGGAACGCGGCGGCCGGGCGCACCACCCTTCACCGTGGCGCAGGCCCATTTGCACACATTGTCTACAGTCCGGCAGCACCCGGGACGCTTGGAAACGACAGCCAGGGCTCCCCGTGCGCGCTACGACAGGAATCTGAGGGGTGCAGTTCCTCTGAACGCCACAAGGTGGGGATCTCACTGAAGACAGGAAGTCTAGGGAAAGAGACAGGAAGTGATGTCACATATAAATAGGAAGTTCTGGGCGAGAGGTGAGTTGGGGAGGAAGTAGAGAGGAGGCATTGCTGGAAGTGGCAGCAGAGGAGGTAATGAGATATTATGTTATATATACACCCAGTAACCCCCCCCCCCCCCCGGTCATGTGCGTTAAGTCTGGAGACTTTGCAGGCCATTCTACCGTCTCGTTCTTTTCTTCTAAGGTAGTCCTGACACTGGCTTTTACTTACTTCCTCCTGACCTGTCAAACCTGCACCTTGAAGTCTTCCCTTCACAGTTAAAACGGAGACTTTGCTTCCCTCCATCAATGTTAAGCTGAAACTGTACTCACTGCCACCTTGGCTTTCTTTGACTTTGGCTGTGCTTCAACCTGTTGTCCCGTGAGCCGCCTATCACGCAAGCTGTTGACTCTCAGAAACTTGTCTTCTGATTATGTTGCGGCATTGGGCCTGGAAGAGTTCTTCCCGTCAGAGTTTCCTCCAGCGCCTTTTGATGGTGTAGGAAACTGTACTCACTGACACCTTGGCTTTCTCTGCTATTGCTATTTGATTCCTTCTCCGTACCATATCTATGACCCTCGGGTCTGGTTTAGACCTCCATTACAAGCGGGGGGGGGGATCAGTTCCGATGATACAAGAGTGGCAGAGGGA